TAACATTCCATGACAAAAATTAATAACATTTTTCACCATTTATACGCAGGAAAAGAGAATGTACATGTAGAGTTTCGTAAAGTAATAAAGAACAAAATGACTTACCGTTAGTTGCCCCTGATATTCAGCTGGGAGTGCTGCCTGCGAATTATAACAAACACACATACGTAATTATTATTTTTTTAAACACTTTCCTCGATTAACAAGTAATTTATTTAAATCAGCTTCCGCTTAACATAACCCAAAATGATTATTCATAGGGCGCAAACCTCATATGGCTTTACATATAAGAGTTAAGCAGTTATATGGATTCAAAATATGAGCTTTGTGTAACTGACAGAACTCACCGGTAATCCGGGGGGTCCTCTGGAACCCGCGGGACCCTAAAAAATAATTTTGGAGAAAAATTGAAACTTACCAAGTACAGAATATATAAAGATCTATAAACTACATATGGCGCGAAAATATGCTCAAATACTTGTCCGCAGACGTAAGCTGTTCCGAGTAGCGAACAGTTTTCCGACAGCGAAGCTGTGAGCTTCAAGGAACAGATGTCCAAGGACAAATATCCGAGCATATTTGTAAAGTTAAATGGAAGCTATTGTGTTTATTATCCTTCAAATATTCTTCGCAACACGCAGGATGTTTTGAAAATTAGGGAATATCACTCGGATATTCCCCAGTATTCAGTCACGTGACGCGTTTAGACCAATCGCGTGCAAACGAAAATATTTGATGATTATGAAGTTATCTGTAAGGGTGATATTTCAAGTTCGCTCTAAGAGTAGGCTACAAAAGTGGAGAAAAAGTCCGACACTATTACAAGACATGTTTCGAGAGGAAAGTCTGTTATCGTCAGTAAATGTAATAATGACCACGCGAAACTTCTCGCCTCGATTGAAGGTTAATATGGGAGAATAATATTGACAGGTACACACTGCTTTCGTACTTTTATGCTATAATCTCTTTGATGTGATGTGCTTTAATGTGCACTGATGTGATTTGATAGAGATGTGTTTCTTTTCCCAAAACAACATGGAGGAGGATGATTGAAGAAGAAAGGCACGAAGTTGGGAGGCAAATCGAATAGGCCCTTTGCACGAGCCGGTCACATGGTACAAAATCACACATGCTGGTGAACAAGTTGCGCAGTGGGACTTCCAAAACAAAGGCAGGTCCAGGTGGACTGGTACGAGTTGCATTGTTTTGGAAGTCCCACTGCGCAGC